GTGTGGCGAGTTAGAGATATTGGTTATATCTTTAAGCCTTCGTGTAATCGCTCACTACGTAACAACTGCAGTGACGGCGTACGTACCGAGCAGGTTCTGGACCAGCTGTGGGTTAGGCACCAGTGGTTCAGGATGTGTGTAGATGGAGTATCGGCTGTGCTGGATTTGTCTCAGTGCTTCAAAGTTGCCCAGCAGGATATCACACAGCCACTGGGCGTTCACACAAGGGATCTTCCACTCCTTGGCCTTCTCATATTTAAGCCCACTGGGTCTAAAGTGATATTAGCAAGACAACCATAAAACTGACAGTGTGCTTGACAAGTGAAGGTTCAACTGAAAAAGGTTTAAAAGAAAATGAGACATTTCAAACAAGTTGCAACAAAGTTGGGAAATAAAAGAGTGAAAATGCTGGACTAACAAAACAAACCGTCTGATCTTAGGATAAAGAGAACCTTGAAGATAGGCTGAGTCCTTCACACATACAGATGAGGAGGAGTACACTCCAGGAACGACATAAAACCAAAAGTAAGACTGTTCTTGTATAGTTTGAGTTCTATGAATATACTGCGTGCATTACAAAATAACACCCAAAGAGGAACTCATCTACCCGACCCCAACTCTTACTCTTTGCAAATGAGGACAGTGTTACTGCGACAGAGATATCCGGTGTATCTGGCACCAGCCAGGTAGGCCATCAGCTTTAGATCATCTCTGTCAGCATCCATAAAACCCGTCACTGATATGATCTGAGGAAAGACAGCAACAAACAGCTGGAGTAAAGATCTGACAAGCAGAAATGCTTCCTGCCAATTGGAGTGCAGCATTTAAGTTCATTAAGTTCACCAAGTACAAAGACTGTAGAAAAACTGCTGCTAAAAGAAACGGCAGACGTACGTGCTGAGAACAGGGTTTGGCTCCAGGAGGGAAGGCAAATGGCAGATGTAACGTCCGGTGAGGAGGAACCATCCTCTTCTTCTTCAGCACAGTGTTGAGCCAGTGGGCGGTTACACAGCGTTTCCCCTCTCTGAGTGCCTGGAAGAGGAAACGTGCTTT